ACTCACAGTGTGATTTAAATAAGTATGCTGAAGTTTATCCCCTTAAAAGTAAGGATACTATTTCAATGGCATTAGCTTCTTATAGATTTGTTAAGATTTAAAATAAATAATATAGTTTAAGTTTAAGAATATAAAAAAAATGTAAACACCTTATAATATTTTTGATAACTATAATTTTGTTTTAAAACTGTATTTTCAGTCTAGTGAATTAATAGTTATATAATATGAAAATTTTAAAAGTTATGCAGTAATGATAGGCGAACTAAAATTATTTCACAACAAAAACTTAAAGATTCAATACAATTACGTAAGGAATTTGATGATTGTTTAAAAAATTTTAATACAGAGAAAGTTATATTTTTTAAATTACGGTGTTTACGATATTTTATTTTTATTTTATTATGTTATAAATATAATATAGTAGGTATACAAATTTTAATATTTTAAAATAATGTACAATTTTTTAGATTTTTACACCAAGTTGTAATTCATTGAAAAAAAATTTTTGTAATTCAATTTTTTTTTCTTTTTGCCGATGGGCGTGTAGTGTGTGTGTAGTGTATGCTCATGTAGCTATATATATGATAGTCTAATAAACATTCAGTCAGTAATAAACCTACATTCAAGACCAGTACACGTATTATTTATTCCCCGAACCTCCCGACATTACAGTATTATCTCCCTTACATTTCTCAATTTTTATTAATTCTATAACCACTAAGATTACTTCGTCCTACCACCTATACGCAGATGATCTTCAATTATATGCTCATGTTTCTCCTAGTGAATTAGATGTAGCTATTAGCAACATAAATAGTGATCTTGAGCAAATATCAGATTGGGCAAAAACATATGGCTTGAAGATTAACCCCCTAAAGACTCAGGTAATTATCATCGGAACTTCATATATGATTGGAAAATCTAACATATCTCAAGCACTTCAAGTTGTTTTTAATGGAAATTTTATCCCTGTTAGTGAAAAAGTCAAGGAGTTGGGAATTTATATTGGAAGAAACCTATCATGCGGTCTTCAAATACAGGGGGTTAGTCGTAAACTTTTTGCAGCTGCCCGATCGTTGAACAGATTAAGGAAATTTCTACTTACTGCCTCTAAAATTGCGCTTGCTCAATCTTTTCTTCTCCCGATTGTGGACTATGCAGATGTCAGCTATCTTGATCTCACTGAGAAGCAACTTGATAAACTTGAGCGTCTTCAAAACTTTTGTATAAGATTCATATTTGGTTTGCGCAAACATGATCACGTATCTTGTTTTCGTAATAAGCTCAAGTGGCTTCCTATCCGTCTTCGCCGGGATGCTCATATTCTGTCACTTCTTTACAATGTCCTCTTTAATGCTTCCTATCCTTCTTATCTTAAGGATCGTTTTGAATTTCTTCACTATTCCCATTAGAAAGTTTTGAGATCATCAGAGAATTTTACATTAAAAATGCCTGCCCATAATAGCAAATTTATGGACAGGTCGTTTAATATCCAAGCAGTCCGTCTATGGAATGCCCTACCTCTGTCAGTGAGACGCGCCCCAGTCTTTACCTGTTTTTCAGAAACTTGTACACAGTCACTATCTTAATCGTTGAGTTCGTGCCATCTATTTTTGTAGTATATATTCGTATTTTTTGTATTTATTTGTTGTTTATTTCTAATTATATTATATAAAATATGGATATCTTTATAAATATTGTTTCTGCATCACCAAACCACACAATTTACTACTTTTTGCGATCCTGTCCATCCAAAGGTTGTCTGGAAGAAATCGCTTTTAGCGATAAGACCGCCCATTGTGACACTATTTTTTTTTCTTCTTCTTTCGTTTATGTATTGATTTGGTGTACAATAAGGAATTATCTATCTATCTATAATCGGGGAATATAGTTTTTGTCTCTTGCCCATGATCGCAGGGTGGATAAAACTGAGCTAGGATAAAAGGATAAAAATGTTATCCTCTCCCCGTGGATATATTGTCTCCTGCCCATGATAGCTTTGCTGGATTTCGTAGTATATCCTGTCATACAGTTGTGGGCGCGGAAAGTAGTGACAAGAACAAAAAGAAATAAACAATTATTTAAATTAAATTTGCAGGATCGAGACAAAAAGATAATGTAATAATCTTAATATATATAAATTGTCACGTTGTTTGTCCGCAATGGACTCCTAAGCTACTTAACCGATTTTAATCGAATTTGCACACCGTTTGGTCCAACTTGAGAAATAGGGTAGTTTTTTGCCCATGAGTGACCCACAATTTTTTTGCAAATTTAAGGATTTTTAATAGGACATGAGAAAGGTCGTCGAAAAGGGCAGAACAAAGTCTGCCTGGCAAGCTAGTAATAAAATATAATTTAATATTAAAAGTGACACGTTTATTTCGAAAGTTTTGAACTCAATAAAAAATGCTTGCCGCATTTTAGTGTTATTTCATTCATAGTATTTAACGTTTTTTCTCTCTCATTTTATCTAGAACATATGTTGACTAAGAAAAACGAACTGTTTTTGTACATTGACAGATGGCGCGGACGCGCCATGGGAACGATAAATGATCTTTACACAAAACATTTCTGTAAGTATTTAACGGTAAGCAGCATTATTGATATAAGAGCCTAGATCAACCAAACAAGACAAAAAATAACTTTGGCCTCCTCGAAAATTTCCTGATAAAAGGGATATTCTTTATAGTTGTCATGTTTGGAAAAGTGGTTGGTAAATGCAGTTTTTATTTCTATTCAGCTTATGTCAGGAAGATGCCCATCTCTGTCCATCTTTCATCGTTTTAGTTCGGTTTCCCTCGTTCGCCCCTTACGATACCCACGAGCTGGTATGGGGTAAAATATATTGTTACACCGCCACTTCATGATATACGAGTAATACGTACACGGCGTAACACACTGCTCATATTATTTAATAGAGGCTATAACTTTCTATTGACTGAGCATTCCTTTTTGGGTATTGCCGTATTTTTGCAAAATATTTTAATTAGCAAGATATTAAGAAGTTATTATTAAAACTAATAAAGTACTTATAAAAATGGCGTAGCATATAATAGAGCTGAGATTCTACCTGCTCTCGTGCGTTATGAAATTGATCGGTAAATGTAAGTAAGCATCGCAACGCACTACACTTTCAGCGTAACGCAAATACAAATTGAAAATACTGAACCAAACTAGAACCAAAATAGTTTAAGTATGAAAACCGAAAGCAAACCGCTTGTCACGTAGTAACACTGTACAACTTTACTAAACTGTATGTACCATGACAAACACGATAACGAATTGAATTACTTTGATGGAATCACTCAATGTACCGCTTACTTTATTGCCCAAACTGACAAAGTCTTGCAGTGGTTTGCTTGGTTCGGGATTTAATTTTACTAATTATATGCTCTATTAAAGTTAGGATGATTTTTTGGTTTCAATAGTCCCTTGTGCTAGTGCTGCTAATAATGTTATTCACATTACTAACATTCCCTGTAATCGTTCCTAATAAGCTTAAAATACACGTGTTAAGAGTGGAGCAGTCTAATGGCGGATACGAATCCACGACCTTTTTGAGTTTGCGGTTTGCACCACTAAAATTAGTACTTCAAATTTGGCTGAAAGTCCTCCAAATTTTTTAAGTATTGATAAAAATTCGAAAAAAAAAATAGCCAAGACCTTTCAAACTAATTTTATAAAAACTATAAACAATATGAATGTAAACAATACTAAGAGTGGGATTTTCACGTATAAACTGTATACGATAATAACCCTGTTTTCGGAAATTATGTATTCCATTTTATTTTTCATATTATATTTATCGTGAGCGTAAGCGGCTACTGCAGTCCAGGGTAACTTCGAAAAAAAAAAAAAGACTAGAGATGTGTTGACACCTGTAAGAACTAAGAGGGAATGTCTTTGAGCTTTTAATTATATTGGCATACCTTACAGACCGGAACATAGCAGTACAGGTACCGTTAATTGGCAGCAGAAATTGGTTAGAGGTTGCTATCTGTCTAAACGAGCTCCTGGGCGGAAAAATAGTCGTACGAGTTACTTAGATAAAAAAATATTTTATAAATTTGAAACCAGTCATCCATTGAGTTCTTTCGCCAGGTTAAAGATTTTTAAAAAAAAATTTATAGGAAAAGGGTGACAAGCGAGCACACAGTCCACCTGATGGTAAATGGTTGCTGTGGCCCATAGATATCTACATCTATCCTTGTTTGCGACTCAAAATGCAGATGCGTTGTCAGCTTTGAGGATTAAGATGGAATGCCTCTTTTCCAGTAAAAAGGGTCTCCGGTTCTCTACACTCACCATACGTAACACAGCAGCAATAAGCTGCTATTTGACGCTGGTATTCTGTGAGAGCGTGGTTCCTTCCCCGGTCGAGCCGACCCATTTGTGCTACAACCATAATATAGCTGCAGCATGGCTCTACCACGGAAAAATAAATTTTATATTTAAATTTGTTTTATTTATTTATGCTCTTATTCACTCCATTCCTTTCTGCTGATTAAAACATATTAGCTTTGACTTGTTTTTTCTTTCTTTTGGAACTAAATTCGATATTTGCATTCAGAAATGTTTAAAGGTGAGCGATGTCAACCATTGAAGTCCTCAGCAATATTTCAATATCGCTGAGGACTTCAATGGTTGACATCGCTCTGCCTGCTGCAGCCACTAAAACTAGTGCAGTCCTCAGCAATATTTCAATATCGCTGAGGACTGCGGCCACTAAAACTTCTGTTGGATCAGGGCAAGGATTTGTAAGGTACGGCTGCGTATGGAACCCTTTAACAAACAGGTTCAAATGCAAGAAAAAATGGTGCTGTGCAATTCCAAGTGCCATCAGAGTACACCATGCAAAAATGGTGCTGTGCAATTCCAAGTGCCATCAGAGTACACCATACAAAAATGGTGCTGTGCAATTCCAAGTGCCATCAGAATACACCATGCAATAATTGTGCTGTGCAATTCCAAGTGCCATCAGAGTACACCATGCAACAATGGTGCTGTGCAATTCCAAGTGTCATCAGAGTACACCATGCAAAAATGGTGCTGTGCAATTCCAAGTGCCATCAGAGTACACCATGAAAAAATGGTGCTATGAAGTTCCAAGTGCCATCAGAGAACACCATGCAGAAATGGTGCTGTGCATTTCCAAGTGCCATCGGAGTACACCACGCAAAATTGATGCTGTGCATTTCCAAGTGCCATCAGAGTACACCATGCAAAAATGGTGCTCTGCATTTCCAAGTGCCATCGGAGTACACCATGCAAAAATGGTGCTGTGCAATTGCAAGTGCCATCAGAGTACACCAAGCAAAAATGGTGCTGTGCAATTCCAAGTGCCATCAGAGTACACCATGCAAAAATTGTGCTGTGCAATTCCAAGCGCCATCAGAGTACACTATGCGAAAATGGTGCTGTGCATTTCCAAGTGCTATCGGAGTACACCATGCAAAAATGGTGCTATGCAGTTCCAAGTGCCATCAGAGAACACCATGCAGAAATGGTGCTGTGCATTTCCAAGTGCCATCGGAGTACACCACGCAAAATTGATGCTGTGCATTTCCAAGTGCCATCAGAGTACACCATGCAAAAATGGTGCTCTGCATTTCCAAGTGCCATCGGAGTACACCATGCAAAAATGGTGCTGTGCAATTGCAAGTGCCATCAGAGTACACCATGCAAAAATGGTGCTGTGCAATTCCAAGTGCCATCAGAGTACACCATGCAAAAATTGTGCTGTGCAATTCCAAGCGCCATCAGAGTACACTATGCGAAAATGGTGCTGTGCATTTCCAAGTGCTATCGGAGTACACCATGCAAAAATGATGCTGTGCATTTCCAAGTGCCATCAGAGTACACCGTTTAAATTTGGTGCTGTGCATTTCCAAGTGCCATCAGAGAACACCATGCAAAAATAGTGCTGTGCAATTCCAAGCGCCATCAGAGTACACTATGCGAAAATGGTGCTGTGCATTTCCAAGTGCTATCGGAGTACACCATGCAAAAATGATGCTGTGCATTTCCAAGTGCCATCAGAGTACACCGTTTAAATTTGGTGCTGTGCATTTCCAAGTGCCATCAGAGTACACCATGCAAAAATGGTGCTGTGCAATTCCAAGTGCCATTAGAGTACACCATGCAAAAATGGTGCTGTGCAATTCCAAGTGCCATTAGAGTACACCATGCAAAAATGGTGCTGTGCAATTCCAAGTGCCATCAGAGTACACCATGCAATAATTGTGCTGTGCAATTCCAAGTGCCATCAGAGTACACCATGCAAAAATGGTGCTGTGCAATTCCAAGTGCCATCAGAGTACACCATGCAATAATTGTGCTGTGCAATTCCAAGTGCCATCAGAGTACACCATGCAAAAATGGTGCTGTGCAATTCCAAGTGCCATCAGAATACACCATGCAATAATTGTGCTGTGCAATTCCAAGTGCCATCAGAGTACACCATGCAAAAATTGTGCTGTGCAATTCCAAGTGCCATCAGAGTACACCATGCAAAAATGGTGCTGTGCAATTCCAAGTGCCATCAGAGTACACCATGCAAAAAATGGTGCTGTGCAATTCCAAGTGCCATCAGAGTACACCATGCAAAAATGGTGCTGTGCAATTCCAAGTGCCATCAGAGTACACCATGCAAAAATGGTGCTGTGCAATTCCAAGTGCCATCATAGTACACCATGTAAAAATTGTGCTGTGCAATTCCAAGTGCCATCAGAGTACACCATGCAACAATGGTACTGTGCAATTCCAAGTGTCATCAGAGTACACCATGCAAAAATGGTGCTGTGCAATTCCAAGTGCCATCAGAGTACACCATGCAAAAATGGTGCTATGCAGTTCCAAGTGCCATCAGAGAACACCATGCAGAAATGGTGCTGTGCATTTCCAAGTGCCATCGGAGTACACCATGCAAAATTGATGCTGTGCATTTCCAAGTGCCATCAGAGTACACCATGCAAAAATGGTGCTCTGCATTTCCAAGTGCCATCGGAGTACACCATGCAAAAATGGTGCTGTGCAATTGCAAGTGCCATCAGAGTACACCATGCAAAAATGGTGCTGTGCAATTCCAAGTGCTATCAGAGTACACCATGCAAAAATTGTGCTGTGCAATTCCAAGTGCCATCAGAGTACACCATGCAAAAATGGTGCTGTGCAATTCCTAGTGCCATCAGAGTACACCATGCAAAAATTGTGCTAGGCAATTCCAAGTGTCATCAGAGTACACCATGCAAAAATAGTGCTGTGCAATTCCAAGCGCCATCAGAGTACACCATGCAAAAATGGTGCTGTGCAATTCCAAGTTTCATCAGAGTACACCATGCAAAAATGGTGCTTTGCAATGCCAAGTGCCATCAGAGTACACTATGCGAAAATGGTGCTGTGCAATTCCAAGTGTCATCAGAATACACCATGCAAAAATGGTGCTGTGCAGTTCCAAGTGCCATCAGAGTACACCATGCGAAAATGGTGCTGTGCAATTCCAAGTGTCATCAGAGTACACCATGCAAAAATGGTGCTCTGCATTTCCAAGTGTCATCAGAGTACACCATGCAAAATGGTGCTGTGCAATTCCAAGTGCCATCAGAGTAAACCATGCAAAAATGGTGCTGTGCAATTCCAAGTGTCATCAGAGTACACCATGCAAAAATGGTGCTGTGCAATTCCAAGTGCTATCAGAATACGCCATAAAAAAATGGTGCTGTGCAATTCCAAGTGCCATCAGAGTACACCATGCAAAAATGAGTGAAATTGACTTTGATCTGATTAATAAATGCATTTTAATTTTATTACTTCTGGTATTTTAATATTCCCTGTTATTATAGACTAGGCCATACCAGTTCATCCTGATGTGTTCATATTCATGTTAGGCTCTACCATGCTATTGCACTTACACGCTGTATTCTATGAGAGCGTTGTATTTTTTCATTCTAGCCGACCCATTTGTGCTACAACCATAGTATAGCAGCGGACATGGCATTAAATATTATTTATTTTTTCTTATTAATTATTTCCAAAATTTTCCCTAAGTCTATTTGTGTGAACCGCATCGTACGTAAGAGGTGCTACACTAAGCAGCCTTGCGGTGCATATTAAGCACTTTATATGCACTTCAAGGTAGTTTAGTTATAATAAAAAATATACTGTGCAATTTACGTGGTCTTATTCAAGCTTTAAAGTCCATTTGCTTTATATTATGCGATTTATAAGAGTTATAACCCTGTATTTCAAATCCGTTCCTTCCCAAAAATTTACTAAAAATGAATGAGGTTCGATAACATATGACGAAGATAATAAATTTACACTAGAGTTTGGTACACTTTATTATGCTCCATTGATCTTTCCCACTTAACCATGTCTTACTTCGGGATGTTCATAGGCTACAGTAATTAGTTAATCTGGATCATATTTTCTTATAATTTTCAAACATATCACTGTTGGTAAAGAAAATTTAAATTTGTGAAACGAATTAACACAAAGGACACATTCGTTGAAATCCACGCATTCCTGTCACAGAATAACACGCATACTGGAAGCTGTATGTCAAGTAAACACAAATACAATTACGAGTATAGCTACGAATTCTCTCTTAATTGCAGTTAGTTGTAGCGGGAAGTACTTTATTTCATTTTAATGGTTGTGTACTTGTGTAATATGTGTAATAGAGAAGTTTTATGTTCAACATGACCTCGAAGCAACAGAACTTTTGTATGCTATTGCAAGAAATAACAAATTTGGTTAAGGCCTTTTCTACCTATGAATATAGTGATTTTTTCTTAAATTTTTGATAAATTAATAATAGAGGATTAAACCGGCTTTAAAGAATAATTTATAAAAGCTTTAACTAACTAACGAAAATAAAGTGACAATATGCATGCTGAGAGGCTCAAGCACCAGCAAAGAGTAGCTAGCCTAATAAGTATCCATACATTCATAACAGTCTATGAAATTTCACTGCGAAACGTTATAGTTGCCACGCTCGGTTGGTGGATTGGCAAGCGCAGTTTATTTTTCGTTTTAAGTTGTTATCAGGGAGATATTGCTGCCCATCTTTTGTTTTAGTTCATCTTTGTCGCCTCTGCCAACCACGCGACAATATGTAGCAGTGGATATTCTTACACAGCCACTACGCGTTGCAGGAAATACATGCCTTAATTTCTGGTAATGCAACTTGCATTTTCATTCTTAGTCGAGGATAAATGTAGCTGTCTATGGCTACAGCATCCACTTATCATCAAGTAGACCGTGTGCTCGTTTGTTACTCGCATTGTATATTACAAAAAAAGGGTAAAAACAAACAAAGAATACTAAATCAGAAGGGCTCACGTATCTGTCAAACCTAAGGCGTCGTCCTAATTGGCTATGAATCGTACGAATAAACGATGCGATTTCATAGCACGATGTAAAAGACCGTGCGATGGTCCAACAAGTGTCCTAATACCTCGCGCGGTGGTCATCGCCCCCGCGCCTTTACCGCAATGGCACCATTTCAAAAACGGCTGTTACAGAGATTCACAGTTTATACTATTGGGCAACATTGCTTTGAAAATTACAAATGGCTCATCTCTTGCGTTACTGCGCTCGCACTATGACACTTGACCAATTAGGACATTTAAAAGAGATTAGTATCTTTGATTACATTTAACATACTACTTAAAAGCTTTAATTAGGATACTCTAAAGAAATGTGAGTACTTAATCTCGTCATGCGATGAAATGCATCGTTTGCTTGTACGATTGTTGCCAATTACCACGACGCCTAACACAAAAACATTGTTATTTGCAAAAAATGGTAAAAGGTTAGTTATATTTCCTGTAGTACTTCTAAGCAGAAATATACTCATGAAAATATATTCACACAATTTAAAAAAAACGTAATTTGTAGAATAAAATGTGTAGTAAATGCAAGTTACTCACCCCGAATTGTAAGGAAATTTAGATTCCTCTGCTATATAGAGACGATTTACCGTAAACTGTGCACATTATTATTACTGTACATATTAACTAATATTTGTATTTTTTCTATTAACTCTCTGCTCGGCTCTGTGACGCATTAGCATAACATTGATATATGTGATAGATGTTTATACTTATGCAATTCATGGTAAATTTCCTCTACGATACAGCACAAAATCTTATCAAATTGGAATAAAGGAATACAAAAGTCGTTCATTCTTCACAAAATACATAGCCGTAATAATTGTTTACATTGTATTCAGCATTAAATTTATCGCAGATTTTCACGAAGCGAAAACAAATCATAAAGTGGAAAATACTCGAGACATTGTACAAAACGAAAAGTCCTCCCGATTTCCTCCACTTGACTTAAAATCAATCTGTGTAATTTGGTCACGTTTGCGAAGACAAAATACATTTTGATTTTGATTTTCTTTATTTTATTACATTATCATTAACCAATTCCCTCTTAGGTATCGAGATATAAAGCGTCGATCTGTTCTCATGTCAGAAGTATTGTAATCGCCTACTTAATTTTCACATAATATGGTTCCACCGTTTCCTCAGTTAGAACTGATGAAGTAGACTTCAACAGTTCAACTTCTGCGAAGACGCTTTCTCCAATTAAGAGATTTTCTGCAGCAGAATAGAGTCCGCCTTGCTGCCCCATTATTGTTTCCAAACCTCACAAGATTACTTTTTTATCCCATCATTCCTTCCAATAATATGTAAAACGAAAATGGCGTCATCTGTTTGCCTTAAACAAAATCTGTAAAAGAAGTTGACACGTGTAAAAGTAATCAAGATTAACTACATCGGCTGTTCTTGTCTAAACCTTTCACGAGAAAATAAATGTAGCGAAGTTTAGTGAGTGTGACGGGTAAACTATAAAAATAATTTACTCGTAATGTGGTCGAGGAAGACCTAAACATTCCACACTCGAATATATCGTTGAAGCCAAGTTGAAGCGGAACGCCCCTGATGCTAACCGTGAGTTTACCTACTTAATTTACCCTTCCTGGTGGGCCTGGGACTGTAGATAAATTAAATAGCAATAAGACACATATCAATATACATTCAAGTACAGCCGTAATATACATATTATATATGTACTTGTACAGGGTTTTTAATTTATAAATTATTGCGTAGAAAAATTCTCTTTTAAGCCCAAATAAATCAAAGGCAGTAAACTAAATACTAAAGTTACAAATGACAAATCTATTTTATGAAAGGTTCGTAAAAACGTAAATCTTCGCAGTCTACTTTGATTACTTTTTTGGTCATCAAAAAAAGTGAAATTAGGTGAGTCAGTTATTCGACTCGATCAAGTACTGAAGAAACCTGGTTAATTAACTTCCAACTAAATTAGGGATTGCGACAAAACTTTTGGAATATGGTTAACTGCAGTCATCCGAAATTATAGTAACGACTTACACGTTTCAATATTGTGTGTTATATTTTACAAGCGTATCGTAACAATGTGGTGATCATTTCACCCCTGAGGACTAAGATAGAATGCTTTGTTTCCAGTAAAAAGGGTTTTCGGTACTCTATATATGAGAGTGTAGTCCTACCCCGATCAACCCAACCCATACGAGCTACACCCATAATAAAGCTGCAATGTGGCTATACCACGTGTAATAAAGATGTTAACCTAGCTTTTATACCACTTTTTAATAAAAAATGTTGATGAAAGCTATATAAAAGTAGGTAAATGTACACAAAAGTATAAATGAAATAAAATATTTAAAAAAATACATGATACATGATACTCTTAGCAATAGGCGTCTCTTGGACATAGGCCTCTCCCGAATCCTCTAATTAGTATTTTTTTTTTGCAATCCTTAACTTTGCTTACGCGCTCTGGACAGGATCAATTAATGTGCCGTTGCTTAGATTAAAGACAAAACGATTTTTTTATCCTCCAATTTTTCAATTATTTTCTCAAAAAAGGAATCTGTAAGTTTTCGGATAATATATTGTAACCTAGATCCCTAACTGTAAACTGTAAAGACAGCAAAAATTTTAAGAAATTTTATTTATATCTTAATAGTATGCTAATAACCCTACAAATATTCGACAGTTTCTACAATGATACACACGACAAGTCTAATTATACAAAGATTTGATTTGATAAGAAGATTTTGGGCTCAGACATATGCTGGGGGCGTACAAATTTCCACGTATACAGTGTAGTAACGCCTCAGGCTGTTACTATGGTTCACACGTTACTGTAATGAATCTGTAATGTTGGTTGACGCACACACAGATAATTTTTCCACGCTTGTTCGCAAAAGAACTGATGCCCAGTATGGTCCGTGTGAACGCCAACAGCATTAATTAGTGCGAAACCCTCGTGCGTTTCTTAAGGTATTAGATGCATGTGGATGTCCATATACCCAGTGCCTCGGACACGCACCCTTTGTGTATGAAGTAATATTTATTTATATAGTCACCTACTTTTACGGACATAGATTTTAAGACTTTTCCTATTGTATATTTAACAAATTATGGACTCCATGGTCTGCAGTACAAGATTTATAACTATTATTATTATTATTTTAATATCATTTTTGTTTTTAAAAACTAAGCTTTACTAACAAATCTTTTACCGGTTCAGATAAGCTTTAAAGGTTT